GATGGGTCGGGATCCCGACGAAGGCTCGCGAGGAAAGAAATGGGAAAACATCGCGACGTTCGCGGACGCGGAAACGACCGAAGCGAAAAACGTCCTGTATTTTCCTGTTTGTCGTCGCCAGATCCCAGATGGAAACCGTGACGGGGACCCAATTACGCCCCCTGACGTTCGAAGCGCACCTGTGCGAATGGAAACGTCCACCTTCGAAATGGAACGACGTGACGATCGCGGCCGAAACGCACATTCGCAGTATAAATTGGACGCATCGGGACACTCCCCGTCACAGCTACAGCGAGGCGAAACATGGAAACTCGTGGGATCGCGTGGGTCTTCTTCCTCGGACTCCTCTCCGCGAAGGTCCTAACAGCGTCTCTTTATTCGGTTCTTCTCCCGCTTTTCCGAGTTCCTTTTCCTCTTGCATGCACATCCGAGGAACATCTGTCGATTTCCGTCCGGGCCGGTCCGAACGACTCGATCGTATCTCGTCTCCAAGTCCTCGTTCCGGGAGGGAACGAGGACTCCGTTCCTCGTCGCGACGCATCGATGCCACTCGGCAACAGATAGGACTGGCCTCGGTCCCCGTTCCGTCTCGAAAGAGACGAAAGCGAGACGGACGGGATTCGCGTTTCCACAGTTAGAGAAAAGGGGCGAGTCGTATAGAGTTTTCGTTTGCTTAGGGCGAGGAGAGGCGAGGAGTGGAGGACGTCGTTCGGACCCGGGATCCGCACATCCGTCAGCCGGGTAAGCCGAGTCTTCCCACTTGAGTCTTCAGGGGTTCGATGAGGGTGGCCTTCTATGAGGTGTTCCGATTTCGAGAAGGGGGTCGTGTGGAGGACGACCGCGTTCCCGTTCCATCCTCACCGGAGTCTTTCTTTTTCTTTCTTTTCAGATTCGAGGATCTTCTACGACTCCTGCTGTGAGTTGTCGTCCGTCTCGTCTCCGGGCGAGGACGGCGTCTTTTCTCGGATTCATTCATCCTTCCCTCTCTTTAGACTGTGGAATCTCGCAATACAAGGGGAAGAGATCCGGGGATCCCCCGGGGAATTCTACGGATTCCGACCTGGATCGGATCATCGGAGGGACCGTCGTCCCCAGTCAGACCAAGTATCCGTGGATGGCCTGGGGTGGGTCGACTCCGACTCAGATGGGTTGCACCGGGGCCCTCATCAACGATCGGTACGTGCTCACTGCGGCACACTGCGTCGACCTGACCAAGTGAGTTCCCACACTTTTTCACGGTTCTCGTTGGGTTTCCACTTCCGGAATGAGGCTTTTTTTTTTCGTCCGTCACCTCAGCCCCACGAGAACGTACTACGT